CGTTGTACTGATGATTAACCTTTTTGTACTGGGTAAGGCATACTGGGAATCTTTTCTTTCAAGACATTTCATTTTGCCTGCATGCATATTATATTCCAACATGAACAGATTTTGATTCAACAGGGCTTCTTTTTGTACATACGTATACCATTGCATGAAGCATCTTGTTAAGAACCATTATTGCTCACCATATATGCCTGCCTGGTATTAGTTATTGTTATATATCTATTTATGATTGTAAATATATCTGGATAAGAGGTGCTTATAATATATATTATATATAGACTATATTGTTGGATTAGTATTATTCATGTATTTATTTTTGTAATTTTTACAGGTGAAACACTTGTATTGGTATGAATTGGGAGAAAAGGTTTCTGTTTGTGAGTGCAGATGCAGTAGAGCTCGGTTGCCACCAAGCAAGTAAGCTGTGACATCTGTATGAAAGAACATTCTGATACTTTATTTTCAAGTCAATGTGCCTCCATATTTTTTCTTTCTTGCAAGAATTTGATATGGTTTTGTCTTGCGCAATTTTATTGTTTGTTCATTGTCATAGTCGAGGACTTGAACAAAGTTATAAATCTACTTCTGTGTTCTCCAGTGAGTCTGTTTTACTTATCAACCCAACAATTTATTGGTAAAATTATCATTTTTGTCCTATTTATGTCATGTGAGATGAGTCCAGCATATCAATAAATTGTTTTCTTAACTTGTATGAACAGATTTTGGCTGTTTGAGCCTCGCTGTGGCATGCATGACATAGGCGGTTGGTATATTGAAACATTTGGTAGAGATAAGAAAGGCCGCATGTTGCCATCTCAACGGTATTGGGATGGCTTTGATGCTGGAAAACAATTTGAAAAGTAAGTAATGTCATATGCGATCTTGAGCTCTATTTCATAATTCACAATTTTTCTTAAATCTAGTGTATAACTAATTTACTAAACAGAATAGGGATTGATGCTCAACTTGTATTGAAGCAGGTCAACTTATACTTTAAATTTAGTGCAAAGTGAAATTTAAACATTTATTTTCTAATTTGTGAATGGTTATTTTTGTTATTTTTTATTTTATGTTGGCGTGTCTAGTAAAAAAGCCACCATTCTGAACAATGCTGTTGTCTTTCATTTTTATAATTGAATTTGTTCAGGGGGATCGTTAGGATATTATCCCTCCATTAGTTCATTATGACTTTACTTGGTCTTCTCATACATTTAGAAATGCACTTACCATCCTCTTGTGGTGTGTGTAGGAGACTCCATCCTGCGATGTATCTTCTTTCTCTTGCATATAGAACTTTAGATCTTGAAGATGCACAAAGAAGGAAAAATACATTCAAGGATGTCGTGGACAGACGACTTTTTAAAATTCTCAATTGGTGCAAAAGACTTATTTAGGAGGTATACTAGTTGGGGAATTACGCATTGGGTGTTCCTCCAAGTATTCAACAGTTCTTTGCTCTAATCTGGCGTCAGAAAGCTTAGACAGCAGCAATAAGTACAAAACCGATGGTTCTATATCCTGCTATCAGTTTTTACCATGAACATATATTGAAGGGCATTTGTCTTGACTTTGCAGAGCTTGTCTGGGAGGGATACCATTCGAGCCTAACTTATACTATGATATGGCATAGTTATTTGTATCCATGATCACAAATGGCTCTTGGCATATTGTTGAAGGCTACAGCTCATAACCAGTGCTAGAAAGTTGTTTGCAGGGGATACTGTTTATGGACTTACACAGTTACACTAACTTGGTTGATCTATCTTTGGGGGTAGAATGCTTGAGTTCTGACATCAGAGGCTCTGCTTCTTATTTCTCAAAAATGCCACTGGTCAAGGTGGTTTGGACGCCAAGTATGACTGGCACTTATTTTCCAGATATCATTTCTCTGCCCTGTTTTTTGGTGTTGATGGAGACAAGTTCACACACTGCTATCAAGTTTTGCAAGATTATCATTTAGATATTTGTGGAAGCGTGTCTGTCTAGTTGTTTCCGCAGCTGTTGTTCTGATTCCTGAAGCCGTTCTCAAGAATTCCTGTTTTAGGCAAGAAGAGCATGCATTACATACATCTCAACTTCATGAGTCCAGTGACTGAAGAGTTATGGTATTTAATGTGCCTTACATAGCAAATGATATATATATATATATATATATATATATATATATATATATGTATGTATATATATATATAATATATATGTATGTATGTATGTATGTATATAGTACATTTTTCTTTTTTTCGTTCCCTGTTCTTTGGTTTATCATGGATATTTACCATGACAACTGCCGCTTCTTTGGAAAGTTGATCATCTTTTCCTCTCCATTAATGGCATAATGTACAGTACAGAGAAGTAGTAAAGGAAACTTAATTGCTCAATTTTTGTCACATCACCTATTGTAAATATGTTCCACATTGTTTCATTCTCTCGTGCTTTCTTTATGTCTGTTTTCTGATCATTTTTCTCCTAAAATAAAGTAATACCTGTAGATTCTGTTGTTTTATGTTACAAATTACAAAGCATAGTTTATCAGCATTTGTTCAATGACATTCACAAAATCTGTTTTATAAAATGAAGTAGTGACTAAGAGGCATTCCACCGTCTCCACCGTCTCATGCTAACCTTCCCCCCACCCCCCATCTATTTGCTGGTGCTATTGGATTTTCCTTGGATGGACATGGCATTTCCATGCAGACCACTACTTTGTTTGTAAAATAATTTTGTAGAATATTGAATTGCATATGAATTATGATTTTATCTTTTGCCTTCAACCCATCACTTAAGCAGATCCTCCCATTTGCAGTATTGTCCACCTGCTAATGCACGATAAAACCGATCTCTGCAGTAGACTGGTCTTCCGTCAGCAGCCTCAGCAGCGGCTGCTGCTAGATCATCATTGGCCTTCACATCCATAGGCAGTTTAAGTAACTCCTCTTTACTGCATGATCAAGCAACATTTAGCGAACAAAGTATCAAAAGCAATCTGTATATAATAGATCAGAGTGAGACCTTATATTGAACTTTGAGCTGATTTTTGAGGCGGAAACATCTGACGAGTTTTGTTTCGTGCCAAATGTGGTGCGAACAAAGTCTTCCACTGGTGTAGCAAAGATAAACAGCAGCACTCCTGTAACAAGTAATGCCCCTGTTCCAACTAGAGTCTGTTTCAGCAATTTGATAACTGGTTTGACCTGCACCATAAATTTTCAAATACAAATTTCATTTATCATCCTTTTCTAGGTTATGTTTTGATAGTTTGCACTTATTTCAAGTTCTTGTTGCTAGTACCTTGTAAGATCCCAAGAGTCTGTCACGAGCCAAGACCTGCAAGGAAAATAGTGAGCTGTTAGTTTTCAGTAACCATATCTTGCGCAAGGATGGTTCCTGTATTATTCTGTATGAGTAGCAGAGTGAGGGTGAAGGATGATCGTATGCCCTTCTTCCTTACCATATTCATTTTGCTTGTTAACTCAACTGGACAATTCGTAGAATAAACTGATCTTGATTGATGGTTTCTGAAAGTTCTTAACTATGGGTGACTCTTTACTTATTCGTTTTTCTGGATCCCAAATTAAGATCAGATGCTTTACTTAGGTCTGCTCGCTATCATTTATTCAGCGGTTGGCACTTGGCAGTGAGGTGAAATGGCCACCATAGCAACGCAGTACCTGAATTACGGCAGAAGAGGTATTGTGGAAGTGCTTACCCTGTATTTCCAGTTCAGCATATTCTTACAAGGTGCTCTCTGTTACATGATGTTTATTTCTCAGTAATCAAATGATGAAATTGATTGGGATGATGCTCCATTGATTCTTTCTGCCTAAATTATGGGTTGGCATGGGCATCGATAGTTCCGATCTGCTTTTTCCCTTTTTGTTGAATTGGAATCTGTTTGATTGAGTCTTCTCTTTTCATTCTTATTATGCACTAGACGCCATTTAAGAAATGTTTAGATTGCTTGATGACCAAGTTTTCATATCTTCGAATTTGCATCTTCAATGACCCTACTTAAGTTAATGCAAAGTATAATATTTATGACCATAATTGCATATGCAAATATACCCCACACGATCGACACAGTCCGACTTTCTGAAACTTTATTCGAGTATTAACTATTAAGCTCTAGTGATAAGCCACAGGATACATTTTTCAAAGCATAAATCATATTTTTTTTTTTTCAAGGTTTTGATGTATAGGCAATATTAACGTTAAACCTTATGTGATCAGTTAATTTCTTTGAATATTCTGATTAGCCTTCTTCAGTTTAATACTTGAGTAAGATATGTGGATTAGAATTGGAAGGTTAACCTTTTCCAGAGGGATTTCATCCTTGTTTCTCAACTGAGAAAGGATTAGGTTAAAATACTAACCTCAGGGGGCTTTACCCACATTTGTCCGTCATACCAGCCACTCTCTTCATAAGGTATGACTGCTGATAGTAGCCTATCACCAACATAACTCCATCCCTGCAGTACGGTAATTATATGATTTATTTGCTTTAAAGATTCTACAATGAGAGAGGTTCTGCCAAACAAATATTAAGTATGAAAATTGCTTAGATGTAAAGTTCATTCTGTTAAAAGATAAACTTGTTCTTCATTCTTATTGCGTACCATACTACTGTTTAATTTTTCCATACGAAGTTTCACGCCTTGCATTTGTTTTCGCGCAATCCATACATACCGGGGAACCTGTAGCAAACTATGTTCTCTGGTATTTGGGACTGGTAGCAAATAATAGATGGTTGTAATGTTCTACCAGTAGAATTTAATCCATGGTTGCCAGTAATACAACAAACCATGTGTCTGTCTTATCTAGTATTAAGTTTTGGCTGTGAGGTTTAGTTAGTACTCAATGCAAAACTTTTACTCATGCACTGTAGCCGCAATTGTAAGATGAAGTAAGCTGAAAACCGTACCAGATAAATTCTTAAGACAATCAACGATACAACAAAAAGAGTTCCAGTTCCAGCGGCTAGCGCAAATCTTAGAGGGTCCTGCAAGGTTGGAACAGATAAAGTAAGGTTGGAACAGGTTAAGTAAAGACAAATGAATTACCTCTTGCTGGGCTTACGTCTTCCTATTTAACTTGTTTAGTAGCATGTCAGGGATTCTGTGTGTGATTTTTACGACTATTTGAGTATATTCTTAGGCATGGAAGCACAGTGAACATTCTCTTTTAGTTTCCAGAAACCTTGTTGGTGCCGAGACAACAATCTTTTTTGCTTTTACACTACTATACATATGATATTGGCCTATCTGTTCATCATATCCACATATATTTTCTGATGTTGACTTTCAAATGCGCAATATCTGTATCTTACCCTTGATGGATTAAAGCTTGCAGCAGCAATAGGCAATCCTAGAGTTGTGAAAGTTACCAACCACAAACCTCCGAGTCGAAGTAAAAAGGGCCCAGGTCCCAGTTCGCCCCACGAGTACAAGGCTCCGTCCTTCAGAGATGAGTACTCATTCACCTATCATGGAATCAAATAACTGTAAGTACGGATTTTTTATGGCATATTGCATGCAAGACATGATGTGTGGGAATCTATTTGATTTTTCTTCTTTTTTGTTCCTCATTTATTTTCTTTGTTGCTCATTGAGTGGGGTTTAGCCGACCCCACTTAGTGGGAAAAGGCTTTGTTGTTGTTGTTGTTGTTGTTGCTCATTGAGTGGGGTGCATAAGAAGGGATTGCTCTGAATTTCCCGCAAAACTTCTCCCAACCCTTTTGGGATTCACTTACCCACTTGCTTTGATTCAATCCCATGACTTGAAGTGCGGGTAGAAGCTACTCGGCTATAAGACCCACAAATTTGTTTGGACGGCATATTTTCATTAGTCATTGGTCATACTTATTCTTCTTAGTTATGTCATCCTTTTATATTTTCTGATTTACGCAAGAAAAACTAAAATCTGAATTGTTTTCCTCAAGTAGTGAATTGAAGTTATTACCGACTGAATTCTTGTTCAGCGAATAAGCTCATCGAATTTTCTGTTGAACAATGAAGGACTGAGACTACTGCAAAATTAGACAGAGAGATTGAAAACATACCGGCCTTTGCTCAAAAGGAACCTCAATTTCTGACCCCGGATCCCAACTCTGCCCGCGGAAGCCACTCGTTTCCCCGCCTGCCCCATCTTTCAAGGCCTTGATAGAAACCCCCTTGGGCAGCCTTCTAGCACTACGGTATTGGATGAGCCATGAGGTGGAGCTGCTACCAACCGTCACTAACTTGACTTTTGGAGGACTAAAGAGCAGAGAGCAATACACTTGCGCTCGGAGCATCTATTTCCTTAAAATCGAACCGAACCGAGCGCAGCCGAGGGGTATCCTAAATTTCTTGGTTCAACTGGCAAGAAACCGGGGGAGGAGATGAGTGTTTTTCAGGGATGGTTGTGTTTTTTCAGGGACCATGCATTATTTACGTGGAGGAAAACAACTGATTCGGAAAATCATATTTGTAATTTACTGCGAAGAGGAGGGCTTGTTTGGACAATGACCCAAAGCCAGGTAGGCAAAACGTGTGATAGTACTTGTATACTTCCATTGGAAGGGGGGACCCACACAATTGGACATGTGTGCAAGCCTCTCCTTTGTGTGTGTACTTTTGGACCGTCGATCATGTAGGCCTGTAAATAGGATTATCCAAATGTTAGGGACTTTAAAAAGTAATTTTGTTCTTGTCTGTAAACAGTGTGTTGGCGACGTTGATTGTGCAAATGAAATGTGAACACCTTCGGCCTTCCACGCAGTGTCGTGTGTATTCCTAATGCTATCATGGGACGGCATCAGGGTGCACTGTTTTGTGCGCATTCCTCGTGCTTTCATGGGATGGTGTAAGACCTTGTAGCTCATGGGGTTAAAAGGTTAAAGGGTATTGGCCCTTGTCCTGAGAACACAGTTCGAGTTCATATAATAAACGAGCCAAACTTGAGCTTTGCTATGTATGGCTTGTAAGTTTGTGAGCAGAATGTTTATAACTTTGCTTTAGATGAATGATATTTTTCTTGATAATTTTAAGACAACTAAATACACAAAATGTGTATCGAAATAATGAAGTCATCCATCCAACCAGCAACCAGGGATCTAGCCCCAAATCAAGGAATATGACCTTGGGAGGAGGCATGGCCCATATCTTGGTGGGAGGCTCACAAAATGGTGGGAGAGACACCGGAAAGGGATAAGAGGATGAAGCGCTCAAAACCACCCATCAGGAGGGGGAGGGGGACGACGGTGCGGATGCAAGGGGAGGGGAGGGAAGAGAAGACTAATAGTTTAACAAACACTTCAACATGTTGTCCCGAAGCTGATTTGAGAATATTAGCTTTGTCAAAGAAAAATATCACTAGAACGTAGTTTAATAGTAACATTTTGATTACGATTACATTGAGCCGTTGAGACTTGACTCCATTGAACTGTTGAGACTGGACTCCACAAGAAAGTGGAAAACTGAACAGTGAAACCGCGTAGCCAAAAAGAAGAAGATGCTCCACGCCACATTGCCTACCAATTTTGTCAGAAAGAGACGCACAATTCTGTATTCCTAGTCACCATTGGATTCCAAGTTCCAAATCTCCAAAATCTCGAACTTTTCGTGTGCTGATAACACGGCTGAATATATAAGTGTAATAATACAATTAATTAAATTTTTTTTTTACATGCTTCCAGCTAATTATATTTTTACTGAATCATATTCCTGTCGTATTGAAAAAATTTCCTCAAATCCCACATCTTAAAAATTTAGCACCCCCAGTAATTTTGTAAATAATTCAAATCACAAAATCCCAGTCTTTCTCAACACCAACCTCCGCGGTGCCGTGCGTGCAATTAGAATCAAAAGAAGGCGGGTTGCTTACTCTACAAGCTCGACTGTGACCCTGCAATTAGTCAGTATTTGAGTGACTGTTAACACAGAAGAGACCAGATAAAAGCCACCAATCACCACCGCCATTGCCAATTCGCCAGCAGCAGCATTGGAAGGGAAGGGAAGTGAAATTACCGATGAGACCCAAAAGTGGGAAAGGGAATTGGAGCTCCAAGTTCAAGTTCAAGGGCATACTCGGGTTGCCCACCACTTTGATCTTCTGCTCCTTCTTCTTCCTTGCTGGCTTCTTTGGCTCCTCCCTCCTCTCCCAGGTAAAATTTCCCCGTTTCCTCTTTTGGGTTTTTTATTTTGATCAACAACTTTAATGGGGTTTTTCAATTTTTCAAAATTGACTAGATTATTTTTGAATTTTTTGGCAGCATGTGAGTGGTGGTGGTAATAGGCTGAGAGCGAGACTGTTGGAGACAGAGTACAATTCGATGCCTTATGGCAAGACCGGTGACGATTCTTTAACTTCCATTCCCTTCCAGGTTGCTATTGCTTTTTAATGTTTTTTGCTTGGATTGTTATGAACAGTTTGATCAATTTAGGGTTGTAATCAAAGATTGAATTTTGATTAGCTGACAAGAAATGGGGGCATATGAACTGCTTATAGGTTTTGAGTTGGTATCCGCGAGCATTATATTTTCCTAATTTTGCAACTGCGGAGCAATGCGAAAGCATAATCGGTTTGGCAAAACCACGCCTTAAACCATCGATTTTGGCTTTGCGAGAAGGAGAGACAGAGGAAAGCACAAAGGATATACGAACAAGGTACATTTTCAACATTTGTTGTGGTGAATCAGCAAACCCTTTTCAGGATTTGCACTATTAGTACTGGTTATGCATCCCATTTTTATTGTTGATTGTTGATATAAGCTTAGAAAAAAATAGCATTTAATGTGATTCGGGTTCACATGTAAGTAGTTTTTGTAAAGATGAGCAGTTATAGATGCTACATATCATATGCTTACATGGTATTTTGAAGCAGTTCGGGCGTGTTTCTTTCCGCTTCTGATGATAAATCCGGGACTTTGGATGTGATTGAGGAAAAGATTGCAAGGGCTACAATGCTTCCCAGGACACATGGAGAGGTACTGTTTAGTTATAGTTTTTGAGCTTGTGATTATCATCCTCGTCATTTCTTTATCTATATCTATACAAAGATCATAATGGCTTGTCATGTTTCGTTGTAAGCAATACTTATGGAACTTTTTCAGTCATGTCCAAGCTGACAGCATGAAGTTAAATATCGTACATTGTGTTGCCAAATTATATTCCTTGAACTTGTAATATAATTGTTCTGCAAGCGCAAACTGGGTTAAGAAGGGTTGTTGCAAAATAATCCTGTTAGATTAGATGAGAAGACTTTACATTTACATACTAGTTATTTTTATGGATTTTTGGTTCTGTTCCTCACATGTCTATGTTTTTCTGTTACGTGCCCACCACCCAATAGAAACATAGATAAATGAAATCGGTGCAGTGTTGCTGAAAGTCGCTGACCCTTTTGTTGAATTAGTTAACCTTTTATTTCAGGCCAGTTTGTAAAATTGTCTGAGCTGAGGATATCATCATGTTTCAGGCATTTAACATCTTGCGCTATGAGATCGGGCAGAAGTATAATTCTCATTATGATGCATTCCACCCTGATCAATATGGTCCTCAGAAGAGCCAAAGGGTACATCTTCAGCATAATACATGCATTTTCAATTGGCCTTTGTTGGTTTCATGATCATAACGTTTGTGGTTGTGTATCACCGATACACTAGCACTCCCACGTCCAGACAGATAAAACTAGGCAAAGATAAACCTCAATGTTTTATTTGCTACCTTTGCACAACTACTACAGTTGGGATGGAAAGCACAGTAGGTCACTTTGAAACATATCGGTGTATGCTACCTGGATAAATTGGATTAGCTAGTTCGAAACCAAACAGATGTGATGGTTTTCATGTCTTAAGTCACAAAAAGATGTTCTATGACAAGTTCTTGAAATTTCTCAAATAATATCGTTACCAAGCTAGAGATTTGATAGAATTGTACTGTTTATTTACCAAAAGCTCTGAAAGAGTCGTATTTGAACTTGTGCAGGTTGCATCATTCTTGTTGTATTTAAGTGATGTTCAGGAAGGCGGTGAAACCATGTTTCCTTACGAGGTAAGGTCAAGACCTCTGTGCTTCTCTTTGCCTTTTTGGTTTGTTCATTATTGATCATCCTGCATTTGATCTGCAGAATGGCTCAAACACGGATGGAACCTATGATTTTCGGGAATGTGTTGGTTTGAAAGTGAAGCCACGCAAAGGGGATGGACTTCTGTTTTATTCATTGCTTCCAAATGGTACAATTGATATGGTTAGTGTTGTTTTGCTTCCCATTGTCACTATTATTACCATCATTTCCAGAATCATCGATGAAAAACAGAAAGAAAAAACGTTTTCCTCAGCTTGTCTCGTGAAATTTATCCCGACTGCTGTATATCAGTCTGTCCGAGAGAACTTATTCATTTATTTTGTCGGTGTCTTTATACAATACGTTGTGCACCAAATCGGTAACAGTTAAACGTTCCTATACAATTTCTGTTTAATCATCCGTTCTAATTTCGTAATTGGCTTGATGCCTCTGCAGTTAGCATTACACGGGAGCTGTCCTGTAATCGAAGGGGAAAAATGGGTAGCTACAAAGTGGATCAGGGATCAAGAACAGGAGGATTAGTTGCTAATATATTGTTGCATAATGCTCAAATTTTATCTTCACTTGAGCATTAAGCACACAACAAAGGCCGGCGGCAGGGGTCTTTCGTGTTATAGATCGGAATCTTGAGAAATTTTCCGTCGTGTTGACATCTTGTATCTCATCTAGCAACCGAATTAAATAAATCATGTGTAGCAGGTAAAAATAGCATGTATTTTCAGTTGTCCATGCAATAACAGCAAGTACAATTTTGGCTGAAGTATAATGTCAATTATGTCACTTCGGGGCATAAATATTACAATCTACATAACAAAAAATGAAAAAATAGATCTTCGGAATGAGGATGGCAGAGATTTGCAGCTCTCAGCTACTGTCGATTTATAAATCCCTAAACCGCAACGGTGCCGATAATAAACTTGTAAAATGTACTAGTAAACATGTAAATCCCTTGCTCTTCTCCTGACTAACCAGCAGACGTGCCCTGAAAGTTGAGCGTGCGAGATGGATTTGGCAACTTGAATCGAACTGAGTGACAAGGAACCGATAATTGATTTCCGCCTTGCAGTCAGTCAGTTGATCCCTAAGGAGTATACAAGACCATATCAATCTAATCTTTCACACTTTCTTTCAATATTTATATTCTTCTATAGTGGCATACCTCAGTGCAGATTCAAAGCCACATAATTTTTTCTTTAAACACACTCATTGTGCTAGTCAGGGACTGAGCAATTGATGATCAGGATTCTCCAACTCAGCCGATAAGCTCGGTGATGATTAGGTAAAAACATCACAATTTATGCCAGTTGTGATATGGTTGCTTCCCCCATCGCTTCAAGACATGCATGCAACCAGCTGCTGTGAATAGCCCAAGGGCAGCAAAAGCAATGATTGTTGAATTACCAATGTTATGGTAATATTTCCCCTGCATCAATACCACCGTAGCAATAAAAGTCAGTGGATGAATGCCAAGTCAATAATCTCCATGATGGAAATCACCAGTCAAATGAACTTTCTATTACAGTGGCTGCGGGAGATGCTTAATTATATGTTTTCTTTTTCTATGTCGAAGTGATTCTAGGAAGAAACACTTACTTGCACCAGAAAAAGCAGAATTGCTGCATTTGCAGGTGCTTGAGAAAGGCTTATCATCCCTCCACGGAGTGCATTAGGGACATACCTGTGAACAAACAAGTAAAAGCACAAAAACTATGTAATAAAAATCCACGCAACAAAAATTGAGAGAAGAGATATCAGCTACTAGAAAGAAAGAGCACTTGTTTAATTTACATGGTCCTCAATCTGGCAAGTGAAGGCAAAACCACCCCTAGACCAGCGTGAAATATGCAAAACAGTGTCACTAAAACTCCAATTTCCTGCATATCAGCGTTTAAAAGTTTAAACTTCTGAACAAGCAGCATCAAACAGGAGTGATATTATATTTCTCAAATATTCCAAAACAGAAACATCTTTACCTGATAATCGTAAGCTGTTATGGACAATACAAGCCCCAGCATGATGAATGCATATACTAGGCAATCCTCAGTTCTAAGGGATGACAGTCCACTATTCAGCCACGGAAATACTGTGCTTCCAAGCATTCTTGAGCCCAGAAAACATGGATATATCAACCCTAGGTGCACTTCTCGTCCATCAGCCTAAAATCATGTTGTTATTAAAATTATAGGAAGAAAATGAAACCCTCAAGTCTCAAGAGATATCCAAGGTCCAAAACTTCAAATACATCTTTTAAATTAACCCAGATGGAAGAAACCAAGAAAGAATTGTTTATTCAATTTATGGAGGAAAGAAAAGAATCTCATTAGTGCAAAGTCCTTCAGATATTAAGCATGGTTACTTTCACTTGTATTACATAGTTTAATTTTAATTATAGATAGCCATACCACTATTGTAGGGGCCCATAGTATCCAGAAGACTGCTATAGAGAAGTGAAGACAAGCTTGTGCCCATGCCAAAAGCCATATTCTTTTATCTGGCAATCGTACAAAGTCACAACAGTAAGAATAAACCTCAACTTCATAGCTAAAGCTTACGCCTATAGTTCACACCATGACATGTAAAGCATATGCAGAAGAGCAGCTAAATACTTTTATGAGAACCCATCACATAATCAAACCTCTAACTGGCAAATAATCAGTTACGAGAAACAGGGAACTTTATAAAACAAAACTTCCAGATAAACAGTGTGAAAATGGTCTACAAGTACTCATCCCATCAAAGGAAAGATGACATCAGTGACTTAACTATTCAAGACGGTATAAAAATGGTGAAACAAAAACAAGAAGTATCAACGGAGGGGCAAGTATATACAGCTGAGTGTCAATGGAGGCAAACATAAACAACGAAAGAAATAAAGTGCAATGCAAATAGGAGTTTGGTCCCCATGAATAGAGTTTTGCACAAATAGAAAGCATCTAACTTTGACAAATCTTAAATGATTATACATTCAGTCTCAATCAACCTCATTTAATAACTGATTAATTTTCATAATGAATGTATCGAAGCAGTATAATTTGTTTTTGAGTATATTTAGTAGACGGAAGTTTATAAACAAAATGGAATCTTACCACCAAAAATATATGCAGAGAAAGATGCCCTATACTCCTTAAGAGCTACTTTTTGTGGGGTTTGTGCCCATCCTCTCAGGAGACAGACTAAGCCAAGTATTGCCAAGAAGACGGCTGTAATAGAATGAGAAGCCATGTTTTTCTCCAAATTATCACCAATGAGCCAATTTGAAAGCACCTGGCTTCCAATAAGAGATGCAGCCTCAAAGAAACTCATTAACCAGAACGTCTCACTCAACATATCCTGCCTGTGCCCTTGCTGCAAACACAAAGCCTACATATTAACCATTTCATTTCCTCGACTAATTGCTGCACACAAATCAAATCTGAAAGACGACATTTCTTAACAACCTCTTCGTGTTGAACTACCATCCACGTCTCAAAACTGAATGAAAAAATAGAAGCTGTGAGAGACAAGCAAATTCTCGCCACCAAAATGCTCGGGTGATCAGTAATTCTCTTCCACAAGCCAAGAAAGAGATGTAGAATGCAAAAGAGGATGCAAACTTTCTTTGGACCTCTACAGAAATTACAAAACAACAACAAAGGGAAATTGATTAGGGTTTAAAATTGGGCATCCGAATAAAAAACAAGAAACAGGACTGACAATTTTAGCTAAAAATCAACACTCACATTAAATCCGAAAGCACGCCTAAGAAAGAACCAACAATGAGAGATGCTGCAAATCCAACACAGAGAGAAAACAGCATTTGCTTTCTGCTCAAACCGTAGTAAGCTAATTCGAACTCTCCAAATACAGACCACACTCCTTCCATACCTGGCGTCATCAAAGTACAAAAGTATCCGATCAGTGATTGAAATTTAATAGCTAAATTACTAAGTTAGATTATTAAAATGCGATTTTCAGTTTGAGCAATGACAAAATGGAAGTATAAAAATATAAATTTCTACGTAAGTTGAGTTCAACTTTCTCGGCAACCAAACAAATCTGAATTTAAACAGAGAAGATCCATCTGGAAGTGGAAGGGAATAATAAACGACGTCGTTAGGAGTACGGACCCGAGGCGAGAGAATAGATGAGAAGGAAGTTGCGCTGGAAGCGCAGAGAGGAAGCGGTGGTGGAGATTCCATGGTCGAAGAGCGACGGAGCTTTGCCGGAGCTGCTGCTGCTGCCGCTGCTAGAAGCATAAGGGAAGACGATGATGGAGAAGAGAGAGGCCAGGAAGATGAATATGTATACGCCGGGATTCGGTTCCCAAACGGAGCTCTCAATCACCACCGCCATTGATTCTGATTCGGAGCTTCTTGGAATCGATCAGAGCGAAAAGCTTCGGATCTCGGAGATTGGAGGAGGCATTGGTGCGGATTGGAAGTTGAGAGATCTGTCAATGGATTATGGAATTTGGGGAGGATTTTTGAAACTACAAGGTTCGTACATGGAGATGGGCGATCTCTATGCCTGTTAACTGTAAAAGGAGCGGAGCTTGTGACTGAGTAGTACAACTGTAGAGGAAGCTGGACGCGTCGTCGTTTCGAGAGGAAGTTCCGCTACCTGGGCTCTTCTGTTCATTACGATTGTTCTTTCCTCTTTCTTTTTTTTTTTTTTTTTTTTTTTTTTTTTTTTTTTTTTTTTTTTTTTTTTTTTTTTTTTTTTTTTTTTTTTTTTTTTTTGAGCATATGATATTATTTATATTAAAAGGTTGGGGGAGTGGATTAAACCTCACAATAAGCCAGTAATAATATAGTTCAAATTCGTCTTTAGCAATAATTGAATTGAAGACATCTCACTTATAAGTTAAAATTAATACTATTAGATTGTATTAAAAGGTTGGGGGAGTGGATTAAACCTCACAATAAGCCAGTAATAATATAGTTCAAATTCGTCTTTAGCAATAATTGAATTGAAGACATCTCACTTATAAGTTAAAATTAATACTATTAGATTGTAGTGCTAAGTGGTTGCTTTTTATTTTTTTTAAACAAAGAGCAAAAATATATGTTTGTTTGTGAAACCTCTATCGAAATTTGAATCTAATTCTTCTCACTTGACGGGTGCATTGTATTAAAATTTAAATGGAGTTGATTTTTTTAAGTGGTAGACTTTCACGGATTTAGTAGACTTATAATGATGTACTTTTATGAAAAAGAAAAGAGTTACACGATAGACTTTGTAGAATTCTAGAGAGTTTCATGCTAGAATTTTCTAGAACTATGTGGATTATCATGAAATTTATAATCACCATTCATAAATAAGCAATATTATTTTTAAGTTTCATTATTGAATTGGTGATCATGACTATGACAAAGTAGTCTTATACGATGGTGGTGGAAATGTCACGTGGTGATTGTCTTGGTGGGGTGGTGTTGAGGTGTAAGAGGAGTAGAGATGGGGGGGGGTGATGATGATGGTGGTAGGGGTGGTGATCATGGTGATGGTAGTGTAGGCGGTGGTTATGGTAGGAGTAGCAATGATGCTCATGGCAATGACAATGGTGGCAACGACGGTGACAGTGGTGGTGGCGGGTGTAGAGAAGATGGTCATAATAAGGTGGTGGTGGCAACATGGCGATGGAAGTGGTGTGAGTATTTATGACAAAGAAAATGAATTCTATCAACATCTTAGGGGGAGAGATTGGATTTTCTATGACACTCTTTATGTAATCGGCGGTGAAGACGATCTTTATGTGAGGGACGACTTGGAGATTGAGAGATGAACATTGTGATTTGAAAGAACAATAGCAAGTGAATGGATATGTTATGGATTCACAAGAATAGAGGTGGGAGATTGGGATGGCTGTGTTAGGGGAGTTAGTTCATATAATTAGTTACTTGGTACCAAGTGGTATAAGTACGGAATAAGACATACGAGGTTTGGGTGTTTTGTTATTCGAATTAACGGGTATAGATGAAGAGTATGCATTGTTATCGATAATGATTTGATATCTGATTATGTATGATATTATGACACTTAATTTAGTTTGGACAATTTATCGTGGTAATGTTATGTCCCTACTGAGCTATTGAAGCTCACCCCTTATTGTTATCCAGGTTTACGAACTAAACAGTTGAATGGGTAGATGTTTTGAAAGTGAATTAGATATGAGGCTAGAGGGTATATTTATTTATTTAAGCCTTGTAAAGAATTCTTGAGTTTTTTTTGTTTATGAGAAATTTTATAGTTTTCACCCAGTTTTAGCTTCAATTTTGTTTATTTTATTTTCAGCTTGTGTTTCGAATTCGAGTTCGATTTTTCCACCAACTCTGATGCGGGGTGTGACTATGTTCACAAATATAGTTAAAGTTGCCGAACTTGGTGTAGAAGATCCTGAACCTAGTACTGAATTGCATACCCTTGTCTTCAGGTTCTAGAATCTTAGGCTGAGAGTGTTCCTTCTTTGGTCAAAGTTGCTCGGTACAGAAGTCATCAGCATGTTTCGTAACTACATCACCACAGTCATTTCATTCGCCTAACTGAGTTTGGTTGGGAATTGGAACGCCCGCATCAACATGAGGACATAGTTTGCTCAATGGTTATTCAGTCTACATATCACACATGTCTTGTAACTTCTAGGGTCAACATAGAGTCAACCAAAGTCCATCAAACTCCACGTACAATAACCAATTTATAAGTGAAGAAAAATATTATTAAACCGTATTACTAAATAACATGTTTTAACACAAAAAACTAAGTGACACGTGACAGTTATCATTTGGGTACCATATTTGTCTTGTAAGTATGTCGTTAATAATTGACAGTGTGACAACATCATGCTTCATAGAAGGTATAGTCTCAAGGACTAGTACAAAAACATGTGAATTACAATTAAAAAAAAATTAATGCTAGAAAGATCAAACTATTAAATTGAATTTACAAATCAAATAATGTGTCACCAATAGAAAATAAACACGTTAATCAATACTTAAATAATAATCAAATCATCAATAACCACATTATTTGGTTTACAAAATTTAGTTTAAAAATTTGATCTCTTTAGTATTATACTTAAAAATTCTGTTACCTTCAACATAAAGAGAAAATCATTTAATATTTTGATTCAACAATCTCTAATCGAAGCACATAAATGATATATAAAAATAAGTTGTAAATCAATGTTATCTAGAATAGTATGAATTTCCAAACATAAGTCATACAATTGAGATTTTGAATTTTTTAAAAAGAGATATAAATTCGTGAATTTCCAAATATAAGGATCGTGCCGGTCACGTGCCGTTGGTGGCAAAGCAATTATAGCTCACTAGCCAACTACCGTGACGGAAAGAAACTCATGGAAAAGTAATTCGGCCCGCACCCAATAATTGATCCCCCTTTCTGCCTAAGAGGCACAGAGCTCAATTGCCAAATTAGGGTTTCCAGCTCCTCACCCTTTCTTTCGATTTACCACACGCCATGGGAGGAGGCAACGGTCAGAAGGCCAAGATGGCGCGCGAGAAGAACTTGGAGAAGCAGAAGGCTGCCGGCAAAGGTAAATATTTCATCTTCTTTTTTCCCCTTTTTTCACAGATGTAAATTACCCTTTTCATTTGATACAGAAATTAAAAAAAATACAAAATTTTCATTTAGAATTAGGTTTTAATTGCTTGCAAGCTTATTTGGGGATGATTATGTGTAAAATTTCACTGAAAATTGTCCATTGTGAGAAAATAGAAGAAAAAGAAATTCAAGTTTTATGTTTAGTAGCTCCAATTGGGGATTATGGTTAGATCTAGTTGTTGGTCTAATACAATTGGGTAAATTGTTTGATTTGCACAGGAAGTCAGCTTAAAACAAACGAGAAAGCCATGTCTATCCAGGTAATTGCTTCAACTAATTGGTTTGGTGATGATATGATTCATAGTTAATTCAGAAAACCATTTGTCATGTCTTTTGGTATTAGTCGCGATCGGTTTATAATGTGTACTTTCGTTCCTACTTGTTTAAATGGAATGTAATTGCAAGTGGGTTATCAGGGAATGTTAAATTTGTTTTCTTCCTCTTTTTGGGTTACTTTGTGATAAAATCGGCTCCTTGTGTGACCGGTAGAAAGATAAATTCAGTTACTTTGTCGAAAGTTTGAGGTGATAGTGATTATCATGTATTGGTCAAGATGACTTTGCATATAATTTATGAGAGCCTTTCAGTTTCAACCTACATCCGAGAGAATTTTCTTTTGGGGTGGGAAGATTGTGTTTCAGTCACAAATGAAGTCTGTGCCATCAGTTTGCATGTGCAGCGGTCTCAAGAGTATGTTATTATATAATGTCGATTGTGGTAGTTATTGATGAAGACCTGGTCGATCAATATATTTGAGTTTTGGGGCTAAGACAGTTAACATATATTACAATTAATTGTTGGTCGATCGATGTAATCAAATCTAATTGCTCCTCAGGTGAGCTAATGCATTTTCTACTTCATCTGCTTTAATATGACGATGATTATATGTTGAATGCAGTGTAAGGTGTGCATGCAAGCATTTATGTGCACCACATCGGAAGTGAAGTGCAGGGAACATGCTGAGGCAAAGCATCCCAAGTCTGATGTCTACGCTTGTTTCCCTCATCTCAAGAAATGAAAGAACATTTGATAAGAAGTCGCAGGGACAGATTATGAATGTCGTGGCCCTCTATATTAAAGCGTGGAATGAATTTACCAAGAGTATCTAGAATGATAGCTATTTAATACTTGCTTGTGGAGTTGTTTTTGTGTGTGTGTGTGTGTGTGTGAGAGAGGGAGAGAGAAAGAGATATATCTCCTTGTTGAACTGAAACTCGGTCTTGAATGATCATGGATGTTGGTGGTATAAGAGCTGTGTTCATGGAATCTTGGTGTTCATCGTGTTCTGCTTTCTGTCTTGATAGTCAAATTCCTGCCTATACCGAAAATTCCCATTTTATACAGGCTTCAGAAAGTTGATTTGTCGTTAAATTGCTTTCGCTAGTTAATTTGTCACGCTGGACACTGGAAATGCTGGATTAGTATTCCAGGTTTTATCAAGTTTTTATTTGGTAAACAGGAGCAGGCACTGTAGGAGTGATCTTTATATGAATTCAGTATAGGGAGTTTTAATAGTGGCTGGCCGATGGGGGTAGTGGCGGATACACCACATGTGATGGTGGTGGGGCTGCTAGAGTGACGGTGAAGGCAGTGACGTCGATGGTCTTTGTTCATGAAATGAATCGAAACAAGAAAATTGATAAATATCAAATATTCTAAGCGGTCGAAATGTCGAGGTTATTTTCTCCATCGAATATAGAATAAAGGATCGGAGGTGAGAAACATCGCTGAAAATAGTGGCGTAATGTTGGCAATGGCATTGCTTGGCGAATGAGGGTATGCATTGGTTTATAGAATTAAGCAGAAATATTGAAAGAAAACTTGTTTAAATGACCATGAAAACATACAATCAGTTTTAAACATACAACAGTTGACAATGGCAAACCACAGTGATGATTTTCAGATAAATAACACTCCCAATTCCAAATAGCAATGGACCTCTAGTCTATGTAATCGGACTAATCGAGCAATTACGTCCGCATCCTGCTGCTTTCGGCTGCCCTCACTTGCGAGAAATATGGATGGCCCTGCAGGATTTACCACCGT